CACGAAGCAAAGGTCCAGAACATTAACTTGCGTTATCATTCAGTAGCCTACCATAATGTATAGCCTAGTTGTATCAGCATATGTTTTTAGTCAGCAACTGACTGTCAAATCCATAGACTGTATATAAAGGTCAAATCAGACACTATTTCAACAATATTTACTGTCAGTTTTCACATAAAACTGAAGGGATAATAAATAATAACTGCTCTAATAACAAATTCTAAATTTAAGTAATCATGATGGCTGCATTTAAAAAAAAGTTTTTGTAAATGTGCATCTTAAAAGAAATTAATTTGTTACTCAATTTCAGAAAAAATAAAATAAAAACTGTAACACTCATGCATAGATTTGATTGGCTGAGCAGCATCACATGAGACGATTAGAGCACATGCAATTGATCTGTGAGTTTCATGTGCCACTGAACCAGTACAGTAAATGCTAGAAAAGCTGCGTGGGCTAAAATAGAAACGCTTCGTCACGCGGTAGTAATTCTCAATAATATATCGGCTGTACGTCCGGGTCCGGACAGTGCAGTGGCTGGGTCCGGATCCGGACCGCATTCCACCTATTAGTGACCTCTGCACTACACCTACACATGCACACTGACGACCCAGGGTTAGGGTTACATTTTTGTATTTATTCACACACTTTAAAAACATTTATTGAAAGTTTTTTTCTTTTAACATGTTTATTTACAGCATTAAATGTTGAAATGTGTATTGTAATAGGCTGTATATTAACTTATTGTCAAAAAACTGGTAGTTCTATGTAAAATCAGATGTGGAGCACCCCCATATTGCCAAAATGGCACAATGCTTGTTTCACTGCGAAGCTTCGACTGTGAGCTTGACAGTCGAAGCCATCAAGTTCTTAAAAGAACTCTGGCACAGAGAAAGAAACACAAACATAAAATCGCGACAGTTTGGAAAGTCATTAAAACATTTCCAGCTAACAAGAACTGCAGATCTTTAATTCGTCACCCATCCTCATGCTATATTTCATTTATTGTCAAAGTATGCATATTGGGAAACCCCACAATCCTTCACTGAGTTTGTGAACCATATCCAGACTCAGGAATCAGTTTGTGCTGCAGGCTTTTCCTAGGCCCCCCAAGATCACTGTAAATATGCAGACAGCTTATTGTGGCCCTGCAGCCAGCAAGCGCAGAGATTAGATTTAGGCCTCGGACAATCTCACTAGGCGTACAATCAGTCACTGGGAATCAACACATCTCCAGTCATGTTACGTTTTGCAAAATTTTTATTTCTTTTAAAATGCACACAGAAGGACAAAGATTTGAGAAATGCCCACTTTCAGTTCTGTCGTTCCATCTCAGTGCCATCGTCTTTGTCCCATGGTTGTACGTTCACAGTTCCTCCACTGTCCTTCACTCAGTATTCACTCCAAGTTTTCCACTCCCACACTGTGATCTGCACTGCTGGATGGATTGCTTTTTCTCCAACTCACTCCCCTTCTCTCTGCACAAAGTTCCCTGCTGTGCACCAATCCCTTTCTCGCAGGTGATTGCTCAGGGAATATTGATTAAGGCAAAGATTTGCTGCTGAGAAGTCACTTTTCAAACTTCCCGTGACTTTAATGTGAAATAAAGTGAGCCGACTCCCTCGTCAGTGATAAACACCCTGTTACGGATGAAGCATACTTTTAAGAGAACGCTCTCCATACTCGCCTCTGTCTTCATCTCTTTGGCTTTCTGTCAGCCTAAACCGGTCTATCTCATGCTATTTCTCTTGCACACATACACCCACAAGTCAGCTTTCACACCTAATGTAATGTAGCACTACTTGTCAAGAGGGCACATATCTTTCACTCTCTCGCTAATTGCTGTGATTAAAGTGAAAAACAGCCTAATTAAGCTAACGGCGTAGGGGAAGAATACCATAAAGAACATCACCACATCAATGGTCATTGTTTAACTATTAGTGGAGCTCTAAATGTGCAATTAAAGCATCAACATGACCTTGAACTGTCACCTGAGCAATTTAGCATCTCATGTGAAACATGTGGTACTGTAGGATGTGAGGGTTGGGGTAAAACATTTTCTTTCAAAGGCCATGTCCATTCAAGGAAAATCCCACTTCAACACAATCCAACACAACTTGGGCCTTATATTTGCCCATAATTATAGACTAAAGACTATAATAAAGACTTTGATCAAGAAACAGGGCAAGAAACAAACATTCAGACCATTAGCCTTTAGGCTTTTTGGCTAACGTGGGGATTTTGTTTAACACCTGTAATATTGTTTGACTGCCTGTGTTTCTTGACAACTCTGACTTTTTAAACTATATTTCAAAATCTCAGCTGTTAACAATATTACAATGCTATTATTATTGCTGGATGGCAAAATCAGACCAAAGGTGTATAAAACTGGACCCTCCTTTTCAAGAGGCAAACACAAAGCTGAGACGTTAACGTAAAGATTACTTAACAGCCTCTGAAAATCTTGTTTTTGCTGACCTCCAGCAGTTTAACTTCTCAACTGTTGTGATGTACAGGTGTACGACCCCGTTGTTGGGTTTGTGTACAGGCACACCTGGAGAGAGGTAAAAACATATTTGAAACTTTCAACCAGGGAGGTCAGTGAAATGCTACTTTCCAGCCTGGTGTTCAAAGATCTCATTCATTTTCTCATTTTCATTTCCATCTACATCGTGCCAAACCATTTTTAGGAAAAAAGCAGACACTTTTACCACTTCTCTGTGACATCATTGCATACGCCCTCACGAATGGACCAAGTGAGGAGTGAAGCACTTTTAAATATCATAAACTTAAAAAGACAGAAAGTTAACTGTTTCATGAGTCTTATTGGCTTCTTCTCGGGTGGCACAGCTCCGGCACAGCAGCCTCTCTGCTAATATGCAGCTGGGTATTATCAATCAATTAGAGTCAATAAACAGTTATGAAGGAATGCTGAGACTTGGATACATCCTCATATCTTTCGACTCACTCCATTAACCATATCATTACTGTGCACCACACTTTCCAGTATGCGAAGTGCTTTAAAAGTCTGTGTCTGGCAACTGGAATTTATGAGACTACTGTGACTCCTTGTGTATTTGTATGTGTCTGTGTGTGCAAGTGTGTGTTTGAGACCCAGATAAGAGTTTCAATGGGAGGATAATTTCCACTAGTTTGTCAAAATATTGTCAGTTTCTTAGTGAGCCATTTTTTGCGGTTGCGTCTAATCCAAGTGATGGCTCGTTTATTAGTGGCTGATGGCTTTTAACACGTGCTGCCAGCCAGACCGGCAGTGACAAAATGCTGTTTATTTCCTTAGCCATTATGAAACCAAGCATTACACGTCACACTCACGCACAGTGCTGACAGTAGTGTTACTGGATAATAACCCTTCCTCTCCACTTTCTTGACTCACCATTAATGAAAGCAGAATAATCGCCCATTGAGTCACAGACCATAAAGTGATTGACTTGTTTTCCAAGGCGTTTATTGAGTGCATTTTAGTACAATAGTTTTCAGAAAGTTACAGTTTACAAACTCTTGACACGTACTCGTCACAATTTACAAGTGGTAGCTATACAGAAACAAAAAGAAAAAAAAAGGACCGTATTTAAACAATGTACCTGTGCACACAGAAATGTCTGTACACACAAATGTGCCCACTATGCACACACACACACACACACACACACACACACACACACACACACACACACACGTTCAGTCCTCACACACGCGCGAATAAACATGACATGTGCCGACTCATATTCAGCTCTACCATCCATTGTGTACCATAGAGGGAGGTTGTGATTGGTGTCCTGGAAAGGTCCCATTTCACCTGGTCTTCCTCCTTATTGGCAGCCCACAGCAGTTCCTCTGTGTTCACTGTGTGTGTGAGTGTGAACTTTAAGTGTTGTGTATATGCTGTTTTATACGTGTGTAAATCTTTAAGTCCACAGTCTGAAACAGAAGGGGAAAAAAGAGAAAGGAGTAGTTTAATAAGTTTAGTTTTGTAGGGTGTCAAGTCAGGTCATTTTCAGGTGAACACGGCTTCCACTGTTCTGACCTATAAATGACAGGCATGAAATCGGCTACTAAAAGGATTGTTGGTCACTTCTCCGACAGTTTACAGCACCGTGAAACATTTAACAAGCTCGGTTCTTGTGTTTTGTATCAGTGTGTGATGAATGGCCTCCATATGAAATGGCTTTCAGAGAGGGATGGCAAACCGCCTCTCCATTCATCACACTGGGGTGTCATTACAGTCAGATATTTAGAAAGACAAACAGAGCAAATGGAGGAAAAAAAAAAGAATTACACTGTTGCATAATGAATATATTCTATCATCTCATTCACGGGCTCTTGGGTTGAAAAGCAAATACATGAGACTGAGCTGAATAGAGGACTAATGTATTCAATTTGAATCACTGGCTTCAGCGAAAGGGATTTATGCCAATCTCAAGGAGCATGTGATTATATTTAGCAATACTTGGTAAATCAATGACTAGAAGAATTGAAGGGAAAAAGCTGATTGATTTTGCTCATGAGGCAAACCAGTATTTGAAAACAGTTTTTTTCCATTACTAATCCAAATAAATAAGCTATATATATAATGACAAAGATGTTGCCACATAAACCACACTGAACGATTAAACGGGCCGATTCACCTCAGTGAACTAACTTTCTGACCTTCCCTTCTTTATGCCATTTCTGCCCTGCATCTCCACCCTCATGTAAACAGACTCATCCCCCTCTTTCTATAACATATGCACACACACTGTTGGTTTTCTCCCCACTTTCTCTTCATTAAACATCAGGCTGGAAACCAGACGCGAGAATAGCATAATTGAGGGTTCATCAGTGTGTGTGTGTGTCTTTTTTTGAAGGTCCCATCAGTCTCCCTCCCTGTGGCTGATCAGATGCCTGTCAGACGGGGGTCCCAGCAGGTGTTTGCACCCCTGCCTGGGACCACTGAAGCATGGAGTCAACGATTTCTCTGGGCTGGGCCAGGCCCAGCCCAGCTCAACCCTAGCCCAGGACAGCTTGGTTACACCCAGGATAAACGAGCTGGAGATGCGCCAGCCAGTGGGAGTAGCCAGGGAGAAAGGGCGGGACAGCCAGAGGATGAGAAGGAGGAGGATGACTTGAGGGGGGTGAGTATACTTAATAATCTGCTAATGGGCCTGCCATCAATTTCTAATTTTGGATGTAAGGTGGTTAGAACCGTCGTCACTCATGTCTTTTCAAATCGGGCCAAAAGGCATTTCAGCAGGGTCACAGCTACTGCACAGAATTGATAGTACAATAGCTCATGATAATTGCCTGTGAGCTGAGAGAGTTTGCGACCACGGCTGTATGTCAAAGGAATATTGCCACAGGAACATTCAGGTCAGTTTGCTTTCAGTTAAAGGCCTGTGTTGTTAACATTATTTCATAACACTTGACAAAACTTGATTTATAGAATAGAAGAACAATTCCTCAGCCTGAAGCAGATGACCAGAAAGAAAGTATGATGAACAGCAAAACCACCACTCCTCATCACCAAGCTATCCTGAAATTGGTACCACTGTGACACCATTACATTGCTCAGACCAATCATAGCGCAACCATAAAGGACCAAGCCCAACTATAAAATAGGAATCATCCGTGTGCATCCTCAAATAATATTCCAGCCAGCCATGGCATCCCTTGGGCATAATGTAGACGTCTTGCAAACAGATACTTCCAAAGTGTACCTTTCCAAACACCAGTTCCAGCAGCTAAGAGTTATGGTGAGGTTTATATATGCGTGAAACTCTCTGTGGCACAACAGCATTTGTGCTCAACACGCCAACCCATATGGCAGCAGCGTATAGTGAGAGTGCATAGATTTACCCAGCAGCTTACAGTCTTCTATGGAAGCCTGTGCTACACTGTGAGCAGTGTGCCCATGTGGGCTGTTTAAGTCTGTGTGCTCATTGGAATGGCATCAGGCGTCTGTTGGCAAACCTCAGCCCAGATGTTCATATCCACTGTGTAGAGAAGTGATGCTGATTCACTCTGATTTCCAGTGCCTTGATTAGCTACTCTCCTACACATTTCAAACTTGCAGCAAAACTTGCCTTGCCAAGATATTTGTGGCACTCGTGAGAAAGACTCACTGGATTTGCCTGAAATAGAGTCTACCCGATATAGAACAATTTGATGTTAAGTTGTGTTTTTCCTGTGTGATCAGTGCGTACTTACTGTGGATTTGGGCTGGAGGGTTTGGAGTTCCCTTCCCCTCTGGATGGTGCTGAGCACTCCCAACACAAAAAACAACAGAACATAAAAAAACATATCTGTACAAGTAAGTGCTCACCAGCAAGAGACAGCATGTGTACACCCACATTAAACATGATCTCCAATAAATGGATATTTTTTCAATTATTTTAACTCCTACAGCAATTTTCATATAGATCTACAATACCAATTCTTTGCCCACAGTTCCTTTAACATTTTCCTCAGGTTAAGATTGAGTCAGGATTGTCCTTGTGCCCCTGGAACAGGGAGACGTTCAACCAAGTGTCCATTGTTCAGTTGTCCTTTGGGGAACCAGGGCTCCATAGAAATCTACACATTGCATGTGTCTATCACAATCTAGTCAACAAACAGGTCTTTGCCAAAAATGCAAGCAGAGAGTTCTGTACATACATATCCATACATATCACCTTCAATATGAAGGTTTATTATGAAAGATATAATCATATTTAGCAAGAGATAAACATATTTATATTCTCTGAATCTGGGTGGGCTGGTTAAGTCCTTTGGCAAGGCCTTTCACCCAGGACTCCACAGGTAGTGGTAAAGTTAAAATACGAGTGGGCGGCATCTTGCTATAGTGTAAAACAAACAAACAGATGGTAAAAGACAAAAAAATATAACTAGCTCTGAACTTTCACCAGTCCATTTACAATACATTTTTCAAATTCTTCAAACAAGCAAAAGATGATGTGAAAAGTTGAAAATGGTGCTCCACTGTACATCCCTGTATGATTCTCCCTCTAATTATTTCTACTGGTAATTGCTTTTTGTTCTGGGACTTATTTATGGCCATGTCAAGGCATCTTCATTGCATACATTGACGATGGTAAAATCACAGGTCACATGTTGTTTCTAAATGTATCACACTCCAGTTTACAATTTTAACATCTTCTAGTCCAGATAATATAGAAGTACAATATCACTCAATATACCATACAGTCTGAAATTGTGACAGATTCCCTGTGTCGATGTCTGATTGTTGGAGTTATTTTGGTTTACAATGACATTAATGGCAGTCTATGATCACAGCAACTGATGCCTGTCTTCCTTTTGTGGATAAATGGAGGAACAGTATCAAGTCTGGACCCTGAACTCCTGGCATGGATTGCATGAAGTGTGATAGCTGTTAACCATGTGGTAGTGTAGACCCTGGTCTCCTGTTGTCATGGTAGTGGATTAGATTAAGACAATAGTCTCGACTCTGGCGCGCTCCGATGGATCGGGGGTCATTCGAGGACTGCCATTGTTGTTGGTCCCGCGAATGCTGCCCGCTCCATGGCACAGCGCCCCCTGTAGTCATGCCATAGTCGTGGGTGACTGGCTCATCTGCACCCTCATGGACTGGATGTTACTGAGGATCTTCTTCTGGTGGCCTGCAGGGTCACTCCTATTCTCAGCAAGTCCCTGGAGAGAAAGAGGCAGAAAGAAAGAAAATTGAAGAGCTTGAACATATTTTCAAGCAATAGATGAAAGAATTTCCATCGTATTGAAGATGGAATGGAACATTTGAGTATGAAGCGATTATACTAGCAATCATTTTCTGGTGCATCTACAGGCCAAACATAACTACATATGAAAGCACAATTTCAGGATGGAAAGCTAGTGGCACAAACACAACCAACACAAATTTACAAAATTTATTCTATCACTTGAGAGAAGACTTACTAATGCATGTTGCTTTGCATTGCAAAGAGACTGCATAAATGCCACCAAGCCCCAGGCATACATTTGTAATAAAGAAATGTTACATTTTTACATACAAATTTGTAGACCAAGCAACATTGTTAATTAAAATAAATGAAGTACAATATTTATGTCTATTTGTAACACAAATGCTATTAGAAAGCTGTCATGACCCATGCTTTGAAATATTCCATATAAACAGCAGCGAAAAATATGCCTCTTAAAGTTGTGTATTTAAAGGATTTACATCCTCATAGAAAGTCCTTAATTATTAAATACTAGTCATTATCCTTGAAGAGCACAGATGGACATATTCTTACCACAATGACTATGTTATTTTCTGATGTATATTTTTTGCATTTTACAGGCTTTACTTTGATGCAGTCATTCAAAGACTTGAGTCACTGGGTGCATTCATGCTAGAAATACATGCACTTGACGTTGAGTCATTTAATACGTGTGCCCATCAAGTGGCATATGGGTACTCTGGAACCCTTCATTTGCACATGAGCAGGTGAACTCACTCTGAGGTCATTTGAGCCACCAGCTGCAGGGAGGTAAAGCCTGAGTTGAGGAAGTTGTCTCTGTACTGGCTCATCTTGATGGCAGCGAGCCAGTCCTCTACTGAGCTGAAAGTGTTGAAGTCAGGTATGGATCTGTCCAACAGTGGCTGAGAAGGCCTGGAGTAGGAACAAAAAAGTAGGTGGAGGTGTTGGTGTTACACTGGATCTCTCTCTCTCAAAATGTTTTTAAAGAGCAAAAGTGTAAAAAGGTTCTCTGGTACAACTCCTTGGCTAAAACTGCAACTAGCAAACACCTTCGTGTTACCCCCCATTACCTGACTGATACTATCCCTACAATGAAGCATCTTATGATGATGCTTCCCAGTGTCAGATATTGGCAAATTGGTCACAATTAACGAAACAGTGCACTGAGTTAAATACAGGAGGGACCTTGAAGAAAAACAAGCTCCTTTGCACAAACTCAAACTCACACAGGGCCAAATGTTCACCTTTCAACATGGCAGCAACCCAAAGCACACAGGCAAAACAAGTGGCTTCAGGACATGTCTCTGAATGACAGTGGCCCAGCCAAGGCCTGGAGATTGGAATGGAAAATGTGTGGCGAAACCTGAAGCTTGCAGTTCACAGACAGTCCACATCCAATTTGGCAGAGCTTGAGAGGATCTTATGGAAAGGGTGGAAGACATTGTCCAAAACAAGGTGTGCAGAACTGGCAAAATCCAATCCAAATTCCAAAAGAATCAAGGCCAGTGGTGCCTCTACAAAATAACGAATATACATTGTGAATGTGTATGTAAATTACATGTTTCTGTATGTTTTCATTTTTCTAAAAACTTGTCTTTGCTCCATCATTTGGGGTACATGGAGTAAAAATATTTATAACACCAAACAATTCGGAAAAAGTGAACTTTCTAAAGCCAATGTAGGGCTGTGCATCGAGAGAAATATAAGCAGCCGGGGGGGGGGGGGGATCCTGGGGAGGAAAAGTTCATGTTTGATGCAATCAGCAGTAATAAATTCATGTTTATTTTATAAGGGATAAAAAGTAAACATGTGCAAGCTGGGTTAGTTTTGCAGACAGCATGTGTAATAAAACAGATGAAAAGCATATTTGCGTGCACTTAATGTCCACCTCAGGGTGAATGTGCGTGTTATGTGTTTATACTCACACTGCAGGGATGTTGGCTACAGCTTTGAGGCTGGTGGGGTTACGGATCATCTTGTCCAGGGTGCTGACGATGTCGTTGAAGCGGGGTCGTACGTTGCGGTCCTTCTGCCAGCAGTCCAGCATCAACTGGTGCAGGGCACTGGGGCAGTCCATAGGTGGTGGAAGACGGTAGTCCTGCTCAATGGCATTAATCACCTGAGGGGAGAAGGGGTGGGGAGGGGAAGCTTGGGTTGTTATATATACCGAGATAACTGATAATTCAATATTATATACCACACTGATGTCACACACAAATTACCACTACTACAACTTGTTTTTCTGCCAGCTGGCTGGTTGTCAATAATATACCTCCTTTTTTTGTAATAATATACCTACTAATTTGGCTGAGTTTTCAGTGACTGATGACATTAAGCATATCCACTATGTAATCCTGACATGCTCATCCCTGCCTCTACAACATCCCTACCTCTACAACATCCCTACCAGCACCCCACCC